TCCTGGATTCCCCAAGTTGACTTTCATAGTCAACCTCTGTTCACCAACAAGGTACTGTACTCAGGGTTGCTTGAAGGCTGCTCTGTACTCAGGTTGCCTTCAGGTTGTCCTAATGTCTGGCCTAAGGGCTAATGACCTTGCTTGTCTGCGTCCTGAGTTAGAACATCTCTATTGAATAAGCTTAAAGGAATTTGTACTGCAAAGAAGAGACCTGTTGCATTTTGGATTTTTAACAAACTAAACCTTACATTCTGGTATATTCCTAGTGTTTTTATTAACAGCAGGCTAACTCTTTCACCCCCTCCATCATAGGGAGTGGGGAGGCCTGGTGGTGTAATGGTTACTCATTGATCTGCAGTCTGCATGGTAGCAGCTCTCATGGAGAAAGACTGGGCTTTCTACTCTCGTAAACAGTTACAGTCTCAGAAACCCACAGGGCGTTATTACGAGTCAACATTCACTCCACGGCAGTGAGTTTGCTTTTGGTTTATCAAAGGGAGGGTGCTGCTGTGCACCACCAAAGAAAATTCAAGCTTTATTCCATGAAAAAGTACAGGATCAGGAGCACAGGAACAAATTGTACTAGCTACTCCTTCCAGACCTTCCATCTGAGATAAGCACCTTCAATTACATTTCTAAGGATGTGCAGAAAATCCATCACTGTGAATCAAAGGCAAGATTTCAGTAACTGCAACACACTAGTCCTTCCAAATCCATTTAGTAAAGAGGCTATGCATGCGTGATTGAACTGCCTGCCGGACACCGCATTAGAAACTGAACAGCAATACCCTGTGATTGATGCCTCTACCCTACTGATGAGAGCTTCCCAGAGAATTCTACACCAAAATAGCCAGAGTCCTTCGCTGGAAAAATGACAAATTGACTTTAGTGACACTCTCAAAAACAAATACTGGCTGAAGTATTTTATTAATTTTAGCAGACGCATTTTAGGGTGCATGGAAGCTTTACTTAGTTGAAAAGAAACTGTAAAGAAAGTCACCAAGATGCGTTGAAAGAATTAATTTGCAAACCTGAACTGCTCAAAACCTGAACAGTAATAATGAATCTCACTTTTATCCTCAGTAGTTCTTTTTAAAAAAAATCATTTTATTAGGGGCTCATACAACTCTTATCACAATCCATACACGCATCAATTATGTAAAGCACATTTGTACATTCATTGCCCTCATCATTCTCAAAACATTTCCTCTCCACTTAAGCCCCTGGCATTAGGTCCTCA